ATCTAATTTATAGCATTTTTTCCTAACTCGTGTTTCTGCATTTACTATTATTTTTGCCCATTTTTTCCCCCAGTGTTAATTTATAGAACTGCGCAGCATGTCACAGAGTGCCAAATGCAGTCTGTCTGGGGCACAGTGAACTATCAGAGAGGTCAAATCTGATGCACCTTTCCATCATTGCTTATGCTTGATGACAATGCAGACACGATTTGCTTTAGTTCCTTTTGAAAGGGATTCTAATGTTCCAACTAATTTAGAAAAAACAGATTTATTACTGTAACCAAAATTCTTTGAGACAGTCTGCACCTGGATTCACACTGGCTGTGAGCAGGGTGAAATGTCAAAGGAATATCAATCAGGCCTGAGGGAAGGCTCAAGGACCATAAAAGCAAAAGAATAGTCAGGGAAGAGATTTTAGTCCAAGCCTAAGTCGGCAAAAGGAGATGACATTTATCCAGCTGATCGCAGGTGGCACAGATCCTGGGAGAAGTGGGGAACAAGGTCTGAAACAAGCCTGCATTTTCCTCTGTAAAATACTGGAGCATCACAAGATGGGACTCATGAGCGTGTTTCAGCAAAAGAGTTATGACCCAAGCTAACAGGAGACAAAGTTTCTCCACTCTGGGATGCCTGAGCAAAAATGTATATGTGGGTGAGAGTGGAAGGAGATGCTGGGTTAGAAAGGGATGTTAGGAAGAGATATTTCAGCAATTGGTGGGCAGACATGGACGATCAGGTGCTTATGCAGGTACAGCATGCAGTACTGACAACTAGGAACACTATTCAAGCCAGTGCTGTAGGAGTTAGAAGAGGGGACTTAGCTCATCTCGATGAAGAAGATGAAAGAGATCTGAAGTGTTTTCAACTCACCATCTTGACACTCCAAACCAGAACCACAGCCCAGGAAATCAGAATTAAGAAGTGAGGCTCAATGGTCTGCTTGCCTCTCTAGCAAATTCAGAGGTCTGGGACCCCTCAGAAATCTTTTGCAGTTGTAGGAAAATCCAGATCTGGTGGTACTGACTTCGCATCACAACACATGCCCTGTTCCCAGAATTCTCCTCTCACATCAGCACTGGCAGTGTTATCCAGTGGACTGGCTTCAACCAAGCAAGAGACATTTGCTAGTACTCTATATGGATCAAAGGTTTTGAAGACCTGCAGACTGCCCATTTATCTGGTGCACACTACCTGTTCAGTAAATGAAGGCACTTTTTATGGGTTTCTAGAGGAGGTAAAATCCTTACAGTAGATGCATTTGAAGATGTTGTCAGTGAGAGATTTGAGAAAACACACCACATGATTAGGTCGTAAAAACTGCAGATTAAATTTGGATAAACACTTTGCAAACACGTGCTCTGACGTTTCAGTTGATTATAATCTTGAATGAAATAGAAATGGTGTTGGGCTTGCCCACTTTATATTCTCTTCTGCCACAAAAGAGGCAGGACAGAGTATGAGCATGCCCATACAGACTCTGGCTGGGGGAAAAAATTTTCTTGGCTTCACCGACAGCGTGTATAACTCACCCATAGTGAGACTTACATGGAAACAAGCAACTGAAGAAATAATTCTTGGTTTCTTCCCTGTTTGCTTACTGCTGCAAGAGCCACATAATAACCACCTCTCTAGTCAAAATCTGCTGTTTCTTAGGTCTGTTTATTGTCTATCTAATTTAAAAAGATATTTCTTCTCAACCACTGCAGTTCCACTTAGCACCTGTTTTCCAATTAACTTGAAAATAGTCCCTCTGCTAGGAGTTTTTCTCCATTTTAAGTTGTCACTTTGTCTATTCCACAACAGGCTTTAAAACCACTTTTTGCTGCCTTCAATGATTAAGATTTTTAAACCTGTTTTTACTGTTTTTATAAATCTATCATGAAAACCATGCAACACAAGCTCTGAATTACAGGAAAAGGCCTACAGACAAATATCTTAACTGGTAACTTATTTGTAAATACATACCTTAATATAGATTTCACTGATAATGTTTTTGTGGGACTATAAGGGAGACATATTTTCTGAGTACCCTATAAAAAAAAAACTAGGAAATATTACAGGTCATACTGACTTTTTCTGTATATGCAAATAGGAATATTAATAAAAACAATAAGTAAAAAAAGAAAGAACAAAACCGTGCTAGTTTTACTTAGCCACATTTACTACTGGGGGGGGGGGGTGGGGGGGGGCAGGAAAAACAGAGTGTGAAACCTCATGGATGGTGCAAAATTTTTACTTAGTTTTAACTACCTTGGCATGCGGTATGAGGGCTGCTGTAACGAGCAGACATTACAAACTATTTCTTTTAAAAAAAAACAAAAACAAAAACATGCATGCATACAGGAAAGCTTTAAATCAATTGCTTGGATAAAAGGCTCTTATGGAACATTAAGTGAAAAAAAAATTCATTAAACAATATTAATGAAACCAGTATCACACCTGCCTATTTTCTTAACATTGTATAAGAAAATCCTAAAAGCAGCATAAAGTCGTTGCCTAAATTCATCACAGGACATAATCAAGAACAATTCAGGCAACATTTCTAAAAATAACAGTTGCAGGCAAGAAGAATTAAAAAATATCTGGTATCACAGATTTCTGTCAGAAAGTTTAGTATAATGTTATCTACAAAGCTCGTTTAGTTTTATCTACTATGGTAGAATTACATGTTCTTATTGTATTAAATGAAAAATATGAAATATTTTTGAAAATTTCAGTATTTATGAAAAATAAATACTGAAATTCTGAAGAAAGCAAAAAAGTGTATGATAAACATATCCAAAACAAACAAGCAAACAAAAAAAGTCAGAGCAGCAATTAAATATTTGTTTCTTACTGTTTTTCTCCAAAGTATTGAATGGTATTGAGGAACGCGCTGATTATTTTGGTCAGACAGTACAACAGACAGAAAGAAAGGGTTCTTCTCTGCATCTGTACCTATATAATTTTGATGAACTGTTAGGGAAAAACAAGAAGCATTATCAACCATAAGGAAGACACACCCACCCACTCATGCATACATGCAGACACACACACGGGCACAGAGACGTATAAATATGTAAATATATGCATTCATATGTCAAATATATACTTATCTACATACAGATGTGTAAAAAAAACAAGAGATAGGTACAGCCTTCAAGGCCAAGAAGGGTTTCAAAACATCCCTTTTTGGTAGCAGGGGTTCTACTGCTTATAGAAACCCATCCTCTGTCTTCAGATTAAAAAAAATACATGAAACAATAACTTGTTTTCTGTATAGGACAGAAAATGTATTAATACTAAACTAATACCATATGTTTTTCCATGTTTAAATAATAGCAATTCAAAGCTACACTGCATTTTCATTGATCAAAACTTCAATCCATTCACAAAGAGATAATTACCTTTCCCTAAAAAATATTTGAAATACCATCTTGTATGGCACTCTGGGTTTTCCAAATGCACATCCGTTCTGTGCCATGTACCCGGAGTGTAGTCTGTATTCTGAAATAGAATAGGGAGACTGTCAGATCAAATGCCGAGTGAAAGAAAAGGAGACCATAACACAGGCAAAAGCCAATCAAGAGTGGCTGATTCACCAGAAGAGTTTTAGTTGTACACTGTTTTTTAAAAAGCAAAGAATTATTCTGAAGTCAGTTGTTGCGCAGCTGAAATTAAAATTTCTCCCTCTCCTTTTTTTCCTCTTTTCTTTCTAAGTAACTACAGTCTTTTCCTGTGGTACCACTGTTACTGGTAACAGCTTAGTATTCCAGTGAAAAGAATGTATTTCAATGTGGAATTTGAAGCCCAGTGGTTTTAAAACTTAAAAGTAAATAAATTAATAAACAGAATTCTGCCTCCGGGTTATCATTTGCTCAGTTCTTCCCAAAACAATCCTCAAGGACTCCTTGCTAGACCACAGCATGCACTGGAAGTTCTTCAGTGTTGTTTCTGGCTTGGCCGGTTAAGTTAAATTCCCAAGCACCCCTCAAGTCCTTTTCCACTAAGAATTAACATATGCAGAGAAAAAGCCATTCTCCATATCCATTCACCATGTGGCAATTCATCACCCACTCAGAAAAATCTTTCTGTGATACAAGCTAATCAGCTTGTGAACTGCATGAAACTGAACTAAAAAGACAGTGTACAGAACATGACCCCACAGAGAATCAATGCAGAATAGTTAGATTGCTTTAAACTCTGCACCCAGTGCTGATGCAAACAGATTATCATAGTTTACCGTTAATATTCGTTCATTACAAGCTTACCAAGACCTTACATATATTTCAAGAATATAAGGTCTTCTTTCTTTCAATATTAAGATGATATTTACAGCTGAAAAAGTTTTGCAAAGAAAGATAAAAAAAATGAAGATAAGCAGAAACCTAAGTGTCACTGGATTGGTTGCAGGGACACACCACGAGTTTAGCAGCACAGGAATCTGGAGGGAATGACTCTCTCAGGCTCCACTCAGCTTCTTTATCTCTTATTTAAAGATAAGCATAGCTGCCAAAAGACAACTAAGGGGGAAAAAAATGAAGCTATAACCTCATCACAAGCACAAAGATCATCAGGACACCAATATAAAGTGATGAACTAGAGACTGTGAAATGTTATTCAGAGGATAAGATAGGTATTTTTCTTCTAACGTGATCAGGTGAGCAAAATGTTACCAAAACTAAATGAAATACCAGCTTTTCCCTTAAAAACTTAAATTGTCAAGATTGCATACTCTTGAAAGAAGAGCTAGGCTAGACTGGGGGGGGGGGAACCCACCATCTCCCTCCTCTTAGATTCTTACATTCTCATATTATTTAGCATTTTTCAAGTCCCCTTCCTTAGCAATTGATTGCAAATACATCTTTCAGTGGTGAAGAATAACTGAAGCTGAACTATTTCTTCAGCTTTCTATGAGTATCTTTAGCCACTTACCTCACCAGAGGAGCCGTTTTCCACGCGGAACCGTCCAGCTCTTTGAATGGCTCCATCAGCATCACTAGATATAAGCTATAAGAGAGTTTAAGACAGGTTCTAGTTCCAAAAATAGCCGTATGATCAGCAATCAAAGCTTACTACGGTTTCTTCTTCTCCCAGGCACCATATGACTACCCACAGAGAAGGGATCAGCATAGCTATTTACTAATTCGACTATGGATTTGGAATGACCCAATTATAACTCTAAGGAGGCACGAGCAGGAGAGCTGTTCACTCTTTTGGTAGGTCCCAGTACTAATCAGAAATTCTCCTGTCTCAGATTTTGGCTGCATCAACACACAGAATGCCTACAGAGGGACTTGTCTGCTTTCCAGAAACTGATCTTGAAGCTTGCTCCTTTCAAAACAATGGATCTTACAGACATGATGATTCTTGTCCTCTCAGCCTTGCTAAGCGTAAAACTCTACTTTTTGGCAGTATTACTGGGACTAGCAGTCTTTTACTGCATTTTATTTATTGATGTTTTCCGGAGACGGAGAGCAGCAAGAATCTCCAAACATAATACTCCGTGATTATACTGAAGAACATAAGGTACAGGAGATGTCCTGGTCTGCTTCCAGCATTAACATCAGAAAATACAACTTATTTCCAGCTGAAGACTTCAACAGTTTCATAAATGCCTGGTCTTTTTATAAGGGAATCTAGGGATTCCTAGAACACTGAAACTCTCTTTGTTGTTAGAAAAGCTCTTGAGAAGTCAGTAAAAACATAGGATAACACAACAATACTGATGTGTTCAGCAACACTGCTTAGGAACCCTACAAGAGAAGGGGAGGAGAATGCTGGCAATGATATTGCATGTTACTCCTCTCAGAACTATAAAAAACGAGATTGTCACGTATCATACCAGACTTATGAAATGGGATCTGAACAACAATACTGCAATGGTGTATCATTCCTTGCTTCCCTCTAGCAATCCATGTTATTCTAGGATAATACTTTCTCCCTTTACTTGGTGGAAGAGTTATCACAACATTTTTAAGTTCTCTTTGCTCCTTGCTTTGAAGTGATCTGAGGCTATGTCAGGAATAAACTAACATGGCAAAAACTCCAACACATCCTGGTGCCTTGTATGAACTGTAAGAGAAATTATACGGACAACTGGTTGTATTACACCAGTGGGAAAGACACAGGAAAAAATGTTTAGGGCAGAGACAAAATAATTGTGTTTTAATAAATAAAAGGTGGAAATAATTGAGCAATTGAGATGCTGCTGTGGAAAATATTAAGCAAGAAATGTTCAATATTAAACATTTAGAAATTTGAGAAGGCAACAAGCACCTTTATACGTTTGTATTCCAAAAGATAAAAAGACACTTTCATAAAATACTAGCAGAATTTTAAGAAAACCAATCAAAAGACCATTTGTGTGAGCTTACTGTGAATTTGTAATTACCAATAAATTTTTCTTTTCCAGCAAAAGAATCTAAGTACTAGTAATGAAAGAGCCTCTTAGCAGAAAGCAGTTCACTTGCTTTTTTGATTAAAACACCACATCTAATAAGTGGAACGTATGGAAAGAAAAGAAAGATACCTGGTGTTCTTGCAATGCAACTTCCAGCAACTAAGCCACCAATTTACACACATATTAATAAATATACTATCCCAGAACTTTAAATTACAACTATACCTAGTAGAAAATTAGTGATTTCTTCCCACAGTAAGAGAGCTGGAGTTCAGTTTCTTTACCCCTCCCCACTTCTGTTTTCCTATAGTAAATTTATGTAATTTCATTATGGCCTTGTATACAGAGTGATGTTATTTTACCTACTGACATATTGCTATTTTCACAGCAGAGACGAGATTTATACATATGAGAAAAATGAAGTGCCAACTTAATCTTTGAATTTGAAGAAAATGCAGAATAACTGACAGATTTTAGGGAACAGTTTTCAATATCCTTATCTGACTAGTTCTTTCAACTTTAAACCCTCTCCCACTACTTTGAGGCCTGTACACATAAGATCACATACACACATATATATGTACACCCACAAGCACGCATACAGTTTTTAATTCACATAATTGCAAGTACTTCATCAAATACTACCCTAATATTTTGCAATCTTCAGCTTATAAGAGGAGAAAAGGCTCAATTGCCATCTGGGGGTAAACACGATACTTATATAACACTTCCTGTCCTGTTATGATGAAATATTCACAAATAAGGTAGTAAAAAGATTTCCTAGCACAGGTCTAATATATCTATTCCGAAGCCTCTTTTTATTACCCTATAACTTTCAAGTCCCGCTTAGAAAGCACATTTTCCAAACTAGATCCAATTTTTTACCTGGAATTGAAAAGGATTTGAGCTCTGCATTATAAGCTGCTAAAATCAGAGGACAGGCTATGTAAACTTACTAGCTCCACAGATCCGTAATGCTTTCTGCTAAACTCTCCACGTCTGCAACCCAGATCTTCAGAGACAGAGCTGGAATAGAAACACTTCATCAGTGTACACAAGTCAACTAGCCTTAGATCTCCTGCAACGCTATATCCTGCCATTAACAAATATCATTCCTGCTGAGCAAGGTTCACAATGCATAAACTCATTACTGCAGGAAACACTCCTTACAATGCGCACAGTCTCTAGCAGCCATTGCAGTCTGGCTTTTATATTACCCCCAAAGGAAAAGAAATGTCTGTGTACTGACTGGAAGCAAAAGCTATGATTAAATTAAATATTTAGTCATGATGTGATCAGAGTTCCAAAGCGGGTGGTGGCTTATAACCACGTTTGAAATCTGCATTTAATCTAAGGGAAGAAAAACTACAGTAAACTTAATGCATCAAATAGGACAACTGCACTATGCTCAATAAGCTCACACTTAGTATGTTGCTACTGTTTTTTTCAGAGTCTTTTTTTAGCCTACACACAAAGAGAAACTAAACAATTACTTTAATTCAAAAGCGTAAGGAAAGAACAGCATTTCATAGGTTTCCCCCCTACCAACCTTAACAAAGATAAAATTTTCAAGCAAGCGAAAGTAATCCTAGAATGCAAAGTTCAAAATCTACATGCATTATCACATATAATCTCATACCGTCATGTCACATTAAGCACATCACTACATGCTTCATGAGGTCAAAACTGATAGCAAACATATCCTCTAACCATAAACACTAAGCCTCCTGCCTTTGCAATGAGGATATAAGTGTTACAAATACAACCTAAAGAAAGATTTAGATGCAAATTTAACATAAACCTTGATTACCCAGTCTGTACCAGGGCTAGCAGCTCAATCCCTCCATCATACTCCAAACTTACAGTTCATCCTTCAGTCAGCAGTAATGAAAATAAAGTCATTTAATTTTAATGGAGAAAACCCAAACGAAACAACAAGAAACCCTCCATCCAGCAATAAGAGATTGAATTTTCTGAGAATTATCAGTACTGTAAATTGCCATGTTACATTGACAAACAGATGAAATATCTAAATTTTAATGCAACATCCTCATACGTGCTTCTTGACTGTAGGAGATACTGCAACACTGGACTCCAAAACATTTTAATTTTTAGACAGCTTTTCTATTTGGATTTGTATTTGTACTTAAAATTTATTAAACATGATTCATATTTCTGAGTTCTGTCCACTTGGATTCCACGTCTTTACCCAAGGAGAAGCAATACAAACAAGACATATCTAATAAAACGTTAAAACTCACCAAAATAGTTCTAGTATTGGCTTCCAGTATGTAAATTACGCAGGAAGGGTAAGAACATGACAATAATAGTCATTTTAAATGACCCACACGCCGAAGCAGGAATGTTAGCTGCCACAACAACAGAGCTGCCTTTCTAACTTCATGCGAATAAAACCTTTGGATGACACTATTGCTTTTGGTAACGTATACCCTGTACTTTCTCGGTCAGTTGCCTTTCAGCCAGACCCCTTGTCACACAAACACATCTATACTGCTTCCTAAGCAAAAATGACAGTATACAGCCAGTTTGACCCCTGAAGGCAGTGAAGCCATAGACTATGTTCTGACACCTATGGGGGCACATGCATACATGCCACAGCAGCAGTAACATGAATGACTTGAGGAAAGCTGCCTTCAAGAACCAAGGTTAATCCACATTAAATGCAATTTTTACAAGCTCCAAAACAATCACTCAGTTGGAAGTATTATGACCTAAACACAAATACAATGATTCAAGCTTTCAGCTTGTGGTTGCCTGCACAATAAACTTATGTTTGACTGGGGACAGTTACTAATCTTAACTTTCCTGAGAATCGGCGCAAAATACCTTCCAGGAAAACAGTAAGTTCCCATATCAGGAATCTGCACAGCAGAGATGGAAAAAGTCTGTCACACAAGAAGAAACTGGGCTTGGGTCCTGATCTAAGAAGCCCTTGTCATCAAAGCAGCTACAATTTGATCTTACTTATGATGTGCTGTTTGTAGACATAAGTATTTCAGAGTCTTACCATACTTGAGATCAAAAAAAATAAATGTTAAAGCCTGCAGTTCAAGCCGTTTGTACTCTAATTGAAAGTAACAACAATAACTCCTCCTTTTTCCCCACAGCAGGACAGAAAGTAGATGGAGACAAAATGAGAAGAGAAACAGTATTAAAAACTTAAGAGATACATAAATTACAAATGAGCCACAACAAGAGTCAATTCAGCGAGTAAGGCTACTTCAGGTTGCTACCTGAAAAAAGCATGCCCTGAAGATGGAATTTTCAAAGTTTGTGGCAGTACATCTCTATCTTTTCACATTTGTGACACTGAGAATTTTCAGAGCCTTATCAACTGGACAAAGATGAAACAATCTTAATGGAGACCAACAGAAGAAACTGTTCTTAAGTCAGGAAGTCTGAGCATCCAGAAGTAGGTTCAAATCTTAAGCGATCACTCACCACAAGGACTTCACGTCCAATACTTTTATACACCTACTACTACTGCTGTTGAACCTTTGAATGAACCTTGCCATGCAATACTGCCGCGTTGTTGCACAGAAGTTGTAGCGCGCCACACATTTACAGCTCCTTCTGAGCCTGCAACACAGAGAAGATGGCCCACAGTAGTGAAAAGACTGAATGTTCCTGTGAGCTGCACATCTCAAATAACTTCTGTTACAGTTACCTTCTACTTTATGTGGGTTGACATGCTCATTCTAAGTGTATTTGGACAGTCTCTTTTCACGCTGCTCCTACATGACATTTACAAGGAAATCATGCATGGTTTACATTTTATTGCAAATGCATCATCTTCTTCCATCTTTCCATCATCTGAAGGGAAGTATAAAAAACCCAAACTTTACTGCAGTATGGTTTGAGGTAAAGAAAAATTTTGAAGCTATTACTCATGAGTTCTCATCTTTTCTTTCAGAAGGAAACACACATAAATCTGGCTAACAAATTTTCTCTGCAGTTATTAAGACTGGGTAACATAAAAGAAAAGTATTTCAAGATTAGCATCTATACAGACAAAAATAAAGACATCAGATTTTCTTTTCCCTTCCAGATAGAACGAAGAGTTCCCAAGTTTAGTTTTGTAAAAGTGATCTTTCGCCTCTTCACACATCTCGGAGAGAATTTGGAAAGTTCAGATAAAACCTAAAAAGTAATAATGCATCGAATGCAATTTTTAGAGTTCCTGCATTTTGAGATACACATGAAATTTGGCAGATGCTTCACAGAACAAATGGAATGCCTCATCTGTAGTATATTTTAAGACACTGTGGGGTTTCTACTATATTTTTTACTTTTACAGAAAAATCAGGTAATCATGGTAGTGCTAGCATTTTCTTTGTGTGCTACTTTTGTTCTACAAAATTCATTTTTGTGGCTAGGTGTGCTAGTTGCCTTAGAAACCACTGTAAAAGCAATTCCGATCAATGAACACTTGTCATCGTCAGTACTGGTGGCAGAATGTTATGGAAACAGCAGTCAAGAGAGATTTTGCTGTCACTGAACTCTGAAATTCAGTCTTTGATCAAATGAAGAAATGTATGTAAGATGACAATTCAAGGAGTGGGTAAAAAAAATAAAATAAAAAAATCCAACAATAGTCACTAGCACAATAAATCTTTCCAAGTCTAGGGAAAGCCAGGTCACTGTTTTGTGTGTCTGACACCTGGACAACCCCAAACACAAATATAATACAAATTAGAAAGTCACCACAAAGAGCATCTGGCCTACTGCGCTTTGAACGGAACCATCTCCACCTGGATAATTTTTAGCAACTTTCATCAGTCATGCGATAGCTCCACAAAGCAGAAGAAAAAGCAAGCTGAGGTTTATAAAACTGAACTACTTTCTGCTTTGTGGCAAAGCTAACCTCAAAATGCATGATACCAGAGGAAAATGCCATCTCATAAATTACCTGCATGATAAGCCCAGGGAGTTATGAACGCATTTTAGAACTATCTGCATACATACAAACTAAGTCCTATACCTTAATTTGGTGATATTTCAGCTGAGTGAAAGTCAAACTCTATCACGAAAAGCATGTTGAGATCTCAGCATATTAATGCTGCAGAGATAACAAAGTCAGTAGCTAACAAAAAGCTTTAAAAAATAAAATATGAAAAGAGTATTCAAAACCAAACACTGTGTAACTAAGAAATGGATATAGGTATACAACACATGAATGCACTAATGTAACAAAATACAGGTTATCGAGTTAAAGGAGGACACGACATGAAAGCCATTCATTTAGAAATAGAGAATCAAAATGTATATTAAGGTATATGCCTGGCAGCCCAGGTAAGGAGCCTGGAAAGTAACGTCCGAAACACGGTGGCAGAATTAAGAGCAGACCAGATCCACCGGTCTGATCTTAATTAAGATCATTAAGATACATCCCTACAACGACTACTGCAGTAACATTTCCCAACCAGAGAGTCACAACAAAACAAAGGACAAAGTGAGGTGCAGAGTTAGCTTTGGGTTCTACCATACCAATCTTTTTTTTCCTCGACATGGAAAAGATGATTGTCCTCCACACTCTGTCAGGTGTACTCAACATTGCTTCTAGCAATGTTCTGGAGGCTGATTAGCCCAAAGAAAGGTTCACCATAAAGACTCCCTGATGTCCATGAGAGAGAGGATGTTGAAGGAGACCATCTGATCTACAAACTTATGGTTTACCTGCACTTGCAAATACAAAGCTCTTCACAACCAGTGTGATGTCTACAAAACTATATTCTCTATCACATAAATATATCCTCTATTCCAGATTCTCCAGAAAAACTTTTGATCTAAACAATCCCAGTATGGTTATTAGATTTTTTTTTTATTTTTTTTTTTTTTAGCATTTCTATAATAACAAGCCATAGAATAGCTGCCTTTAGGAGGCACTCCAACATACTCCAACATTTCACATTTCATCAGCTTTGCTGGCCACAGAATGACAGGGAGCACGGCTGTTTCAGAGTTCTGTCATTGCATGATAGACACAATGATAAGCATGCAGACAGTAAGCCAACAGCAGTATACG